TGGAATACATTGTGTAGAGAAGAAATCACCTGTTGTGGTTCTGAATTGTGAACCTAAAAAGGTTAGTCAAGAATGGAAGAGGGCCAACTCTAAAAATCTAATTATGAAACATACAAAAATATACATGTTTTTATTAAACACAAATTAAAATCACAAATAAGGGCCCATTCATACCTCATATACAAATATAAAAATACAAAGGCTGATGAAATTGACCTAACGCGTTTCGGCCTTCACAGGCCTTCCTCAGAGGTCTAATGCAAATAGAAATATTGGCTAATATGTAAAAATATATACAATCGTACATTGTATAGCCAAGGAATATTTCATTGGGAACATTTGGCTATACAATCTCAGGAGAATATATAGTTGACCAGAGAGAAGTACCAATGGACATATGATTGCACTGGAGGTTTCATTTGTATTTTTGCCCAGTGGTTAAACTTTGGAACAATTGTGTTCTGGTCTTTATTTCATATTTTGTATATGTATGATTGTATATATTTTTACATATTAGCCAATATTTCTATTTGCATTAGACCTCTGAGGAAGGCCTGTGAAGGCCGAAACGCATTAGGTCTATTTCACCAGCCTTTGTATTTTTATATTTGTATATGAGGTATGAATGGGCCCTTATTTGTGATTTTAATTTGTGTTTAATAAATGCATGTATATTTTTGTGTTTCATAATTAGATTTTTTAGAGTTGGCCCTCTTCCATTCTCGACTAACCTTTTTAGGTTCTGAATTCTAGGTTTTAGGTTCAGTTTTTTTCCATTTTCCCCTTAGTGATTCTGAATTGTACCAGTGCCATGGAAAGGGGTCAAACAGGGGCTTGCTTGTACAGGCAGATGTTTGTTGAGGTAGATATTTGCTGAGGTGGGTGTTCTTCTATGAGGTAGGTGCTATGCTATGAAGTAGATGTTGATTCATGAGGTAGGTGTTTCCTTATGAGGCAGATGTAGGTTTATGAGGTAGGAGCTTTTTTATGAGGCAGATTTTGGTTCATGAGGCAGGTATTTCCTTATGAGGTAGATGTTTGTGTTTGATGTGGGGCCAGTCCACCCTCATCCAGCAGAGGTGGCCACCCTCCCACCCAAGCACCAAGGGTACAACCCGCATGCCAGATCACCCAGAGAGATGGATGAAGGGGGGACACACAGGAGGACATCAGGACATCTGGGTCTTACTCCACCAGGTCCAGAGAGGGATGGCACAGCAGGAGGAGTTTGAGCTTCCAGAAGACTAACTTGTCCACCCTGGCGGGAGTGGTAGAGGCTGAGAATGTCTCCTAGGTGGGAGAACACCCGCTGGCTCTGGATACTGGTGAGAGGGCAGGAGATTCACGGCCATGCAAGAGAGATTGTCCCAGGCCATGGACTTGCATGACTAGTATTCGAGGGGATCTGCAGAAGCAGACTTGGGACTTGACGAGATACTCCCTCCCTATCATCTCTGCCTAACTCTCCACTGTAGTAAGGAAAACAACCACCACTGTGCAAGCAGCTTGTAAAAATATAATATCAAACCTCTATTTATATCATTGCTTGTTTTATATTCTTAAGTCACCATGTAAATATCCCAAAAACTGAACAGTGTAACAGTACAACACACTATACAGAAAGCCAACCAAATTAAAGTCCAAATTCAAGAAGAATTCATAGAAGAATGTGCCCTCCACTTCTGATTTCAATTTTCAGCTATTTGGCCAACATGAACGGGTGCCCAGTTGTTCCTCATTTTGGCAAAGATTTTATCAAAGCCAAAAACTCTTCAAATGCACAACAGTTCCTCATAAGGCACAATATATTTGCTGAAAACAAATATTCATGAACTACACTGTCACAACATTGGGGTGTGTCCTCAATGTTTATTCAGTCAAGCTGGCTTGGGATATAAGGAAATTTGGGTAGTGTTCCAATTGAAAAATTAATCCCCTTTTTGGTAGGATAATTCTAGGCACTGGATTTAATTATAAACCTGGCTTCTGGGCCAGTAACTCACTCCAGTTAATTAAAAAACAGAATTAGAAATTTATTTACAAAAGAATAACACATATAAAAACATGCAAGTAGGGAAAAGGTATGTACACTAAAACAAAAACAAAATAAGGAACCTAATTCACTAGCCTCTAAACACTGACTAGCAGTCTTCCCAGCAGCACTGATGCAGAAGTACTGAAAACAGTAGCAACCTCTTCATGCAGAAGGCTCCTCTCCATCCTTCTCTAACATCTTCTGTTTATCTGTGTTCTTCTACCTGACTCCTGGCTTTATCCTAGCTCAGCTGTCTGTTCTCAATTACTGACCAATCACAGGGATCAGTCAATTGATCTAACTGGTCTAGATCTTGAACTGTCAAGATGGTCTGCTGTCAAGCAGTTACTTTGACAGCTCACAGCTGGCCACTATCGGCTAACTGGTAACCAGCTGCAGCTGCTCATTATTAAGGTACATTGTAGCTTGGAGACAATCCAGACAATACTTACAGATTAAGAACTCTACAGAAAATGCAAATACTTAGATAACGAGGACCCACTTTCGCGCCATACACACAGTGTCACAAACAATTAACTTCCTAACAGCAAGACAGATTACTTACCAATTGTTACCTGAATACCTTCGTGGAATGTATAAAGCCATTAAAACGCTTCCATAGGATACAGTTCTTTAATATTATGACCTCTGGCCAAGAATGCATATATTACAGGTACAAACGTTCACGAATAAATAAAACTTAACCTAAATGGAGACAACTGTGTGGAATCCACTTAACATACTGACTGCTGCTGACCTCTCACCTCAACATTGACAACTTGTTTCTTCAAGATGGAGACTGAAGTCTATGGAATATGCAGTTCCAAGAGTCTCTCTTTGTTTCCCCTTGCTGGAGGGAGAATTTGGCTCACACACACACACACTTCACACACACATTTAATTGGACTCAACCAAGAGAAGTCCAGTGCTTTGCAATTGTCTGAGTTTCTGTTTGTTGAATACTTTTAGTATTATCTGTCAGATCAGTATAATGTTAGTATTACTAACACAATTTCCCTTGCCATCAGTTTACTGTATTGCATTCTGGCTGATAGGTTTCTTTCTTTTTTGAATGTTGGGGACAGGAGAACCTGATCAACTGGGCCATATTTTACTTTCAGAGGCCCCCTGTGTCCTTTATTTATTTATTTATTTGTTACATTTATACCCCGCCCTCCCCCGAAGGGCTCAGGGCGGCTTACATTGCAAGAAACTTGCTCATAAAAACATCAATACAATAATAGGTTTTAAAAACCACAATATATAATTTAAAAACCCAACTACAATAACAACAATAAAGACAATAAAGTGCTCAAGCTACATCCATTCCAAAAAGAATCAGAGAGGGGAGACCACATACCCAAACATCCCCCACTGGGCATTGTGTAATAGGTATTAAACAGATGTTCCTGCCCTCCTAGGGCCCTCACCCCCCCCCACATGATGGTATATAGCTCTGCTGGATCCAAGCCAAAGAAAACTCTTCTGGGGAGTGATGGCAGAAAATGATGAGGCCGTGGCCTCTCTGTGTAAGGCTCTTTTCTTTTATTATGAACATAGAAGAGATGGGGTGGGTGGCGTCTTCATCATCCTGAAGTTGGTAGCCAATATCAATGTGCCTAGCTTTATTTTTGATGAGTTATGCCTTCTACCATCAACCCTAGTTTCTAAAGCAAAAAAAAAAAAAAAAGCAAGCACATGACAGGAAGTCCTAGGAGTTGTGTGGTCCAGGATGTTCCCATTCTTTTCATGCCTGGCACATCTTGGGGGGGGGGGGGGG